GTGGACCAGCCTTTCGCACGAAGTTCGATCAACAGCTTCCCTAAGCGAATTTAAAAGTACCTGTAAAATACGTCATCATAACTTTTAAAGTATTTTTATGCTACAAAATCTAAACATCACAATTTTAGCAGAACTTACAGTTTAAAAGACAAGAAAAGGACACTAGTCGTTGGTCATTGACTTTTTTAGATTTGGTGGTTCTGAAAAGAATCGGTGTGGCTCTGAAAAGAGCTGTTGTGGTGGTTTCTTGTACGCCCTCTGTCAAATGAAAAAGGAATACTGCTTTTAGAATACTAATGACCTTCCATAGAAAGTAACCAACGGAAATTTGCATATGTGCTTAACGGCACGTGCTCGATAACATGCGGGGCGCTTTCCATTTGACCAAAATTTTCGAGATTCCCGGTCTGAAATCGAATGGAGCGGGATAAGTTCAAGGATAACTTTTCGAAAATTTAGGAATACGTTGTGGTTGTGCCCTCTTGGTTGTGGTCGGACGCGTTCCGTTGGACGAGCGAAAATTTCAACATTTTGAATCGGTGATTTTTGTTGAATGGAAACGAAACAGGAGTTCGAATCTCCCTGTGCCGTGAATACACGGCATTCTAGAAATATTTCGTACTCTTAGATTATGCTGAAAGATTTTAGTGCGTGTAAATGAAGTTATCTATCTATCTATCTATCTATCTATCTATCTATCTATCTATCTATCTACTTGGGTGCGATCATGTTTAGAATATGCCAGTGTAGTATGGTCACCCAACACCAAAAGAAACATTACCAACTTAGAAAAAATTCAACGCAGGGCCGCAAGATACATTCTCGGCAAGAAGCATACTAAATACGAGCGCCTTAGTAGATTAAATTGTCGTCATTACAACATCGAAGGGTAATCCATGATTTAGTATTCTTTTTTTAAATGATTTTTTTTAAAAAATGATTTAGTATTCTTTTTTAAACGTTTTAAGAATATAAATGATTTAAATATTTTGATTTCTCGTTTCACTCTTGTAAAACACCTTTAAGAAATATTGATTATTTGACAATTGATTTCCCGTTTAGTTGTACAGAAACCTTTGAAAATATTTTTTATTACTCGGGTTTATCGCGCATGGAACGAATTACCCCTCAGCATCGGGAAATCTACCACTTACTAGTCTTTCGCACAAAGTTGTTTAATTATTTTTTTTGATAAGTCAAGTGCTAATATTTCATCGCAGCAATTGCTTAATTTTTTTAAGCTAACTTCAGTGACAATTTTTTTATTGTAATTATCCGATTTCCGCACTTTTGATTGAATACGCACTCCGTAAGGAAACAAGTTGACCGATTTGGATGAAAATTGGGATGAGAGCCAACTTTTGCTTAGTCCAGGGAGAGAATTCGTAAAAGGTGGTAAGAGGCAAAACCTCCAGATACTGAAGAAAAGAAATATAAATACCTCTATGGGACGCGGTAAAGAAACTGATAAACGATACCTTTAGAATTGTAACCAACGTAGTTACTGTTTCTGCCGCTCCCAAGTTGTCTGTTGCTCGGCATATAAAATATTCTTTAATATGATATTCAGCCATATTAATCAAGAGACATCCATCCTCTTGAAGAAACGTGAATGCAGCAGAAGACCTTTGAGTCCAAGACCATTTAACCTTTGGACGCCGAGACCCTGTAGCCTCGCAGCTGAGGCTTATATTTGTTCGTAGCACTGTAAAAACCACTGCAGGAGGGGTTAAGGTAAACTTAGGCGACTCTGAAGGAAAAAAAAACCATATCAATTCAACAGACTCAAAACAAGCTTAGCGAAATTCTTAAAAGTCCAGGCTTAAGAAGACATGCCATGAGTGATCACAAGAGAAAACGATTTTTCTGGGATATCGTGATTATTGGCTCGCAGCTTTGTCGAAAGCAAAGGAACTTCAGAATCATCCAGAAAATAAGGCGGTGTAAAACGCAGACATGGTGTAAAAATTCGTTTTTAACACTATGTTCAAATTTTATGTTTCATCGACTTGCTTGTGGGAAGGGTCTTGCTGGATGGAAATAAACCGCGCGACTGAGGAGATGACCAAATATGAAAACAATTAGAAGTAAAACACAAAGAGTTTAAAATTGAAAGATTTTACCTTTTACTTGCAGTCTGCATATTATTCTGAACAATCCTTGACCAGCGTGAGCTGTAGACATGTACGATCTAACATGCGACTTTTGCAGGCTGTTGATTCGAAGAGCACCATCTTCTAGAGTAACACCGGATAGAGTACCTCTAAGCTTACGCCAAGTTATCTTTGACGACGTTTGGCCTTGAACCCAACAGTAAAATATTGCTGGCTCGTTCACAAAGACTTGTTGAGATAGTGGATACACACTGATCTTCGATGAAACAACACATTCTATTTTTGGTCCCTGAATACGCCATTTTCTAAACGATCGGCGGTCTGGGTACGATTTGCCACCATAAAGGCTCTTGGGATCGTTTGAAGGGACAGCGTGAAAATGGCGCACTATAACTGCTGTATTCCAGGCTGCACTAATAGTTACAGAAATGCATCTAACCTTCAGTATTATAGAATTCCTGAAGATTCTGATATACGTAGAAAGTACGTGGTTCTTATGAGGAACGAGACGCTGAAATTAGAGCTCTACGAGTACGCGGATTTTCTCAGCTCATTTCGATGGAGGAGATAAACTTAGCAGAACACACTTGCCTTCAACTCTTCCATGGACAAAACCGACAGCTTCACGTAGCGAACTCAAGAAGGCCAGTTTCGAAGATGCGCAGAAAATGGAGCAAACCAAAAAAAGAAAAAACAACACTTGCTCAGTTACCACTGGAAGCGAACTCTAAATTTGAAGAACAGTCGGAAAAAGTAATGTTTATGCTGACACCAGTACCAGTGTCGAAGTACAAACGTTACTTACTGGAACCAACTAAACAGTTTATATAACAGAATACAAAGAAGTGAACAAGAAATTGTTAAGCTAAAGGGAGAGATTCAGCAGTTAGAGAAAGAAAACAACAACATAAAAGAGGTGAACAGCAAGTTACAACAATGGTAATTTGAGCAATTTGAGCAAGTGTTGTTTTTCTTTTTTAGGATAAAATTTTGTAAGAAGAGGTCTTTAGGGCAAATTTTAAATAGAGGAGAACGGGAAATAAATAATCAGGTACAGGAAAAAAAGTCTGACAATAGTCTCGTGAAAGTTAAGTTAGAGTCAATTTCCGAATATGAATTACCAATTTCGAATGCAGAAATTTTAGTAACATTTTACCTTTGATTTTCGCTTGAAATTTTAAGTTGCTAAGATTTTTTGACATCTCCCAGATGAGCATTTAACTAGTAGTAATTACTAGGAGAAAATAATGGACTTATTTTTCTTGCAGCTATTAAATAAATTAATTTAGAGAAAATATATTGTAAAAGACCTTTGGAAAAAGGACCTTTTCTCGAAGATACTAGCTCTTAAAATTCGAGTTGAAATAAAGTATATGTATGCATGTATGTACCTGGAACTTTTGCTCTCAATCGCGTTAAAATAATTAGAGAGGAAGTAAGTAAACTTCAGGTTTTTTTAAAGATAAAACAAACTAGTGACCTCTTAAGGGTAAAATATAGTTCGTTTAGGGGGATAGATTATGCTAAAAAGCGCAAGTTAAGATTAACCTTCCCTTTCAGCAGCTGTTTTAGTGGGACCATCAATAACAAGAATATCACTTACAAAGTTGTCAGCCAAAACAGATTGAATTTCATAGGAAGAGGTCTTTTGACTGACGTTCTTTGGAGTTGACGGGGATAACATGGCTTCAGTTTTTCATTAGTTTTGTTTCACTTGGCTGAAAGGGTAATGAACATTACATAGCTAAATGATGCAAGCTAATGTATGGTTCATGGAATCGAATAATTTGAAGAGCGCTCTGCGTATTTGTCCGATTTAGATGGGAAAGGTTACTCGCAGGGATCTCAGACCCAGGAGTGCGGCGCTCTCCACCTTGCAGTTGCTGCACTAATTGAAATTTCACTGTGGAAATCATCTAAAGTGAAGACGCTTTCTTGCTTTTAAGAAGAGCGAAGCAAGGTTTTTTTTCACAAATATTTTCACCTTGAAGAGAATTCTAAACTTTAAAGGACTAAATAATTTTCACTTGCTTTTCGACGCAGACAGTACAAGCCGTGGACGCTACACGAGAAGACGCGTCAATTAATGGTCCCAGATAGAGTTTGCTGTTCTTGCATGTGGAAGAACGTTTCTCACAACCTAACTATTTAGCTTACGTGTAGCCGCACCCTTCCCCCCTCCCTTCTGTTTCTCCTCGGGGGAAGTGCGACTACACGTAGGCTACAATTATCGAGGTTTGAATGGTGACTTTGGGTGAAATTTTCCGCTCAATGTAGCTGTTTTCTTTTGGTAAGAGCTGTCTCGCTCCTGGAGTTTATCATCATTTGCTATCTGTTGAACTGTATGACTGAACACAACCATCAAACCAGAAGACAAAATTCAATAAACAAATGAAAGAAATATTTAATTGGAATAAAATGACCTTTATTATTACTCGACCATACGGCTCCAGTATACCTCTAATAACAAAGAACACGCAAACTGACAGACTCTTTTAAGTCGGGGATATGCAAAGCATGGGAACAACTAATGTGGGGATAGGATATGCAAATTTTGTACTATAAGCACTGCCATAGGAGTCTGGGGACAGCATGCATCACAGATCAATTGAAGCGGGCTCTTGTGGGGATGTTGACTTAATTATGTTTCCTGGAATCACAGGATGATTGACAGTTAAGTAAAAACACTTTTTAAAGTCACATTTTACACAGTTCATTCATGACTTCACTGTGGTATCACTTTGATCAATTAAAGTACTCTATATAGCGACTAAAAATGATCATATCCGAATAAATGGACGGTTTAGTGATCTTACTTAATGAAAATGTGAGAGCTTTGTCTGTGGGTGATAACCCTGACAGAAACGTCCTTATCGATCGTCTGGTGGTTGAATACCATCATTACTTTAGTTTGTTTGTTTTTTTAAGTAGTTTCATAGAAAACTTCAACCTCGTCGGGTTGAAAATAGCGACTTCCTGCCAGGAATGATTGGGCAAAGGAGCTGCCATAACTGTGGCCATATGGTGGACTGTAGGTGTAACCAAGGTTTGAGCCAGAACTGTTATTGGATGAGGCATAGGGGGAAATATAAATATCATATCCACCACCAAATGAGGGTCCATTGCCAGCACAACTGTATGTGGAGTAGGTGTGATATCTATACCCTCCTGAGTGATAACTATACTTTCCTGTTTGAGGCAGTTTCACTGGTCCCCAGCCTGGCTTGTTCACCAATGAGAACAAAAAGGCGCTTGAACTGAGTTGCGATATACATTTGGAAACTGATGAGCGGAATGGTAAAAAGAGTCACTTTCTAGTTCAGTTAGCGGAAGTAAATATGAAGATTTGCAACGCTAGGCTATAGAAGCATTAAAACGGATAAGGAAGCGCATCTACGAAAGTAAATTTAATTAACAACCACAATAAATGGAAGAGTTAAAAAATTGTACCTTAGATATGATTTCAATCATTCCTAACGTCCCTGTGATAGTAAAAATTCTTGCGTGCATTGAATACAGGGAACAGCCATCCCTAATAGAGATTTTTCTGCTTTTATATATACAATTCCGATCAGGTGATCAGACAACGAATAGCTTTTCACAAAAATATCGTTACAGGTTCAAGTTATTTCAGAGGGGAGACATAAGAGGTAACAGATCCTTTTTTTTTTTTTTAATGGTTTATTAGATATGAATTCGGCACTAAAATGAAATACTTCATATTTACTTGGGGTGATTAACCGAGTTTCTAGCGTTGAAATGTGGAAAAGTGGCTCAGCGAAGAAGAAAAGGGAAATTAAAGCAATTGATTATTCACTTACTCCATGATTTGCTGGTGTATCCACCAAAGATGTATTTTCCAACACGGATAATGGTCACTGTTGGTCCTTTGTTATCACACAATGAGTGGAAGGTATAGGCAGCCCAACCATGTAATGATGCTCGCCAACAATTTTTCCAGTAGGAAGACTGGCTAAGCACAACAGGCTTTAACCAGTTTGCCAGGGCTTTCAGGTAATTGCCATCGTCTGCCAGAATCACTGATTGACCCAAACCTTAAAACAGAGGAGAAGTATTTTCAACCTCGAGTTCAAGTTTTTAACAGAAAAACATATCTTATATGAACTCAAAAGTGAAAGGGAGGCCAAAAATTTTACCTGATCTTTCATACCAGCAACTAAAGTACAGTCGGAAAACTTGTCTCTTAGGAAGGCCAATACTAGATTTACGTGTAGTAGGTAATATGCTAATAGTAATCTCGAACAGAAAAATGATAAACTCCCGACTTATTTTATCAGACAAATGATCTTTGTCTTGGGCTTGTACATGTATCACATTCGAATGTCAGTCTTTCGAAAAAGTTGCCATGACGACTAAAGAGAAAAAGCTTCGATGCAGTTTTTTTAAAATGAATTCTCGCTATAGTATACTTTAACAAAGCTCTCAGCATATTTCACCTGCAGAGCTGGTTAAACAATCAAAGCCATCTCCAGGGTAACCAGCCCTACACTCACAGTTGTATGAACCGCGCTCATTTGTACACGTGGCTACCTTGTGACAGTAATTTAGGTCATTCTGGCATTCGTTTAGATCTATTAATGAAAGAAATGACATGAATAAGTTTCAATACTGATACAGCCTATACCAACTTCTAAAGTAGGTTTAGATAGGAATTATTGCTACTTCTCCTGGATGTGGTGTAAATCCGAATCTCACAAAGCTTCTTCTCAGGCCACCAGTGGGCATTAATGGGGCACATGCAAACTTTCTAGGAAAATGAACGAAAGGTTAGGCGTGATATATTAGGGTCCAGACCCTTTGTATTTAGAGATTGTTATAATATGCGTATTTGACATTAAACTACGGGAGGCGAGTGGTTCATGTCATGGTGGTTTGGGCTCCAAATTTTACAGTAGGACTAGATGCACACTGGACTGACCACCTGTCACTCTTCTTCTGGAGGGGAAGCAATATCTCACGCCGCTTCACGCTACAGAAGTCGGTTTGAACTCGAAGAGCAGTGATGTTTCGATAGGCTCATGAGACGTTTCACGAGCTCCACAGAAAAAGTTTCGTTCAATATCTATGACTTACCTTTTTTGCAAGTAAACTGATTACAATCACTACACTGCACGTCATTCCATTCATAGTTGTGTTTCACACCAAGTGCGAGTACACAATCTTCTTTTTTAAAATTATTTGGTTGAGTTTTGGCCCAGGCTGTAAAGTTTACATGTCCTCGATCCGTCCAAGTAAAGTTGCCCTCTGTTGATCTGTCATTCAAACCCAGCCAGGATCTCTCTCCATTGTGGCGGTGTTGTATGTAGACATTTTCTTCATTGTTCTTGACATCAACAAGGACTGAGTTTTCTTGTCTACAGTTTGTTACTGCTGTGGTCCAATCTTCACAGGTATCACTTGTGAAGTAACAGAAGCCGTTGTAGTAGCTCCATCCGGGATCACAAATGTCTGGAAACGAATGTGTAATCAAATCTTAGAAAGAGTAACAGAAAGTCATTATTTATTAAGTTTCAAGTTTGGGAATTTGGTTGCTTCTTTCTGTTGAAATACTTTTGCAATATAGCAAAAGCTTTAAAATTGCATTATTTGGTTTAATTACTGACCTGTAAGGACCGCGTAGCTCACTGAAACAGGATCATATCTGGTCTCGTGCAATTCCTTGATACATACTCTGAATCCAGAAACATTCATATTCTGCAACCAGTTCAAAGTAAACTTAACAAAAGAAATCCAAACATCAAGCTTTATCACAGAAAACAGTGAAAAACGACTCTACATTTCTAGGCTAGAATTGATGGAAACAAGTACGCTAGTGATATGTATCTCTCTCGAGATGTGTTTTATGCAGTGTATTTATCGTCTATGTGAAAATATAAACCATGAATTGGTAAGGAGGAAGATTGTAGTCTTTGATAACAGGGAACCATATCCGAACTTACTAATTGTGACATTTTGAAGTCTTACGAGGTCTGAGCTGTTTACCTCAATCCACGTAGAAATACCGTTGTGAACCGGCGCCAAGTTTCCACTCATTGTTGTGCTGTGAGTGGCTGATATTTGAACAGATGGTGTTGCATTGTAACCTCGTGTAAAGTGTACAAACTGTCAGAGGAACAGAAAAAAGGTACTAAAAGGGGTCCTTTATAACTGTTATCCTAACAATCATCGTTAACTATTTCCAATTTCTCTTACTGCAGTTAGTGAATCAAAAGTTCATCTTTTCATGAGATCACTCAACACTGACCTCGCAGTAGGCGTTGTTGTCTTCATCTCTTGGTGGATTCGTGTTTGGAAAGTTTACAGACCCATATTCAGTGAAGAACGGTTTATGCAGCTTAGCAAAAGCCAACCAGGTCTGTGAAGATTCAGTGCAAAAGACAAATCAAAGGCCTTAGCTGTAATTGGTACAATATCGCATTATCAATTGGTTAGAAATGATATCGTACAGTCAAGGACCTTGAAATGGTATGGAAAAATAAATGGAATGAAACTTTTTCCTCTTACTTGAAAGGACTGAAACAAATGTCCTCAGTTTTATAGCGTTATCGATCTTACAACAGTTTTATTGGGAAAAGCATATCACATACCACATAAATATCTTGATGCTTTCCATCAAAGTTTTGCAACTCTCGCAAACAGGCCTTGAACGAGTCCTTGGTTACATCTTCTGTCCAGATCAACGCAGCGTCGTGTTCCTTCCCACTTCTTTGGTGATTGGACGTCACAAGTACATATGGCGAATCATGAAACTTGTTCTATACGCATGTAAGGAAAAATTTCAAATCACAACTTGGTTAATTTTTGCAAATGTGACTGTTTTCGATCTGAATTCCTGTTAATAAACTAATCTGAATCAACCTTTTTTCAAATAAAGCCGAGCAGTAAACTAAATTTGAAATGTAGTAAATTAGGATGTGTTTTTAACCGAAGATACTTCTCCTTTCATGATTCCCTTTTTAGCCCTGGAGATGAGCTTGTGTCTCATTTTAAGGTAACCTACCTTTGGAAACGTCACATATGCGCAATTCGTTCCCGACCACCATTTTGTCATTTTGATTCTTCCCGTAGTTCCCTGGGGTGGTGCTCCTTGATACGCCATCCAATCAATGGTAGCGAAAGGATTGATGTTGTATCCATTTCTCCCAGACTGCATTGCGCATATCGTAAAATTTTGCGTATTTACTTTTTCGGTCCAAGATGTGATGGCATGGTGCACTGTCACGGAATCATTCAGACTCATGTGATTTAGGGTGATCTGTACATGTACTTCTGCGTTTGGATAAAAGCTGTATGGTGGGAATACTACTGTCTCGCAACTTGATTCTGGACATTCGGAAACTCGAAGGAGCTTTACTCGACCATGAAGTATTGGAAAGCCTGCAAAGATTTAGAATGCCGGAGTTGTTAATCTGTAACAACCAACTTCTCTATTACACCTTATTTTGCATAAGGTTTTGGAAAGTTTATGTGGTGATGTTAACATGTTTGTGTGTCTTGTTAACTGAGAACAAAGTTCCTGGTCATTTTTCCTGACAATATCACCATTTTCCTAAAATATAGCCCTACCCTCACAGGCACCAGGATGATACAAGGTGTTATTTTCCATCCCCTTGCACTGACTCGACCTGTATAAGCATTCGTTGTCGTACGTTGTCCCACTTTCTGTGCAGACTGGGTTTTGATACGACGGGCAGTTTTCGTTGCACACACAGCTAGCCTCGTGGGCACTGTAGGTTTTGCAAGCCCCCAATAACGGGCAAAACACATTTAGGCAGGGATCGAGGTCTGTGAATGAGAAGGGAAAAGATAGCTACCTTAAGATTAATGAAAGAAATGAAAGTTACGCTGCAGAATGACAACACTAGCACCTTCAGGCTGAACACAAACCTCCAATAACGACGTAGCTAACAGAAAGAGGGTCGTGTTTCTTTCCTGTTCCGCTCAAGTCTTTGACGCAAATCTTCATGGATATGAGGCTAACTTCCTACACAGAGACCAGAGACCAATAGGTAAAACAATAGCAGAATAAAAGACAAACATACAGATGCGCTGCTCAATGTACCTCGACCCAGGCTGATATGATGTTATTTTTCGGTGAAATGAGGCTCTTCCTGCTGACTTGAGGGTTGTATATATGCTGCACAGACACAAGGGCAACTGGTAAAGCATAAAAGGTTGTATTGAACCGCACATCCTGGGAAAGTAAAAGAGAAACAAGATAATATGAGGCTGAGATAACTCGCATTGCAGTATTTCTGTTTGCAAGTAAAGTCACGAAAATCTTTTACCTCGAAACCGCACCTCTAAGTTCACAAGAAAGTACAGTAATTAACACTTACTTGACAGAAACCATAATTCTCTTCTGCTTTCGGCGGGAAATTGTTTGAAAAATACGCTTCCCCTGACAGCGTGAAACTGAGTTCAGAGCCAGCGCCAAAAAATGCGAACCAGTCCTGCAATAAACAAAAACGAAGCATATGTTTCCGTCTGACAGAATATAAGGTTGCTGAAAACACAAACAACTTGCACGTGCAAGTTGAAAATTCCTGAAAACTCCAAGAGGGTATCTCTTACCACAGTGGTGTCCTTATGTTTTCCATTGAAGGGCAGGAACTCCCGGATGCACACCTCAAAACTTCTGGAACTTACATTTTCCAACCAAACATACATAGCGTCATCTGGCTTTGTGTCGCGTGTGTATCTTGCTGACACAAACACGAAAGGTCTTTTGGGAAAACTCTGGGATTTTAAAAAAACATCACTTTACAATTGTCGAGTCAACAAACCTCAGTTTAGAGGAAATTTTGCGTGGTCACAAACGTATCTGGGCTCTAGGATTAGGATGGCTATCATGAAGCAACTTGTGTGTTACAACTTACTCTTATCCGTCACCTTGTACAGATAATGTAGGTGTTAACTAAGAAAATCAATAAGGCATAAAGGCTTGATGGCTTAACGCTTTAATGTTGTTGGACTTCGAACCCCAACTTTTTTTCCTAACCTGTGAGAAGATAACTTTGTCGCACTTAGTTTCGGTTGTCCATATGCCATCAAAAATAGCTCTGCCATGCGTTATTTTTGGATGATCTTGGAAAGCCAGCCAGTTAATGATTCCGGTCCCATCAGATCCAATACCTGACTCACGCGAACACACTTCAAAGCCAAGTGTGGTAACGGACTGAACCCACGTAGCCGAGGGTGAATGGACACGTGAGAACTTCTCACCGTGACTTACCGTCACGTGAACATTAATCTGTAATTTCAAAGATGATGAATTTCAGTAACTACGCTTAAATAATATTTATTATTAAAAGCTTTTGCTAAAAAGAATATTAAAAGTGAAGGAAACAATCTCGATGAGGGTATAACCTATTTTGATCCATTATTAACTCTGGGTGTAAGTTTATAATTTTTGGAACGTTTTCGTGGCTTCTGTCCTTGAAATTGGATTGCGCCCCTCAGCTCCTGGAATCAGGCCATGATGGTCCTCGATATTTGGGAATTATCAACGACGGTCCCATTACAGTGAAGAGAAGAGGAAATATTGAAAAAAGGGATAAACTGACGATGAAAGTAAGGCAAAGATTAGAGAACATATTGGAAATGAGAAGGTGCTTGGAAATGAAGCGCCGAAAGAATGTCATCAGGAAAGCGATCCTACTAAAGTATTGTAAGACTTTGCGTGCCAAATGCAGTTGCAATCATTCCTACCCGTCAACATAGGACGGAGCTTCCTCATCCGGAAGAAACAGTGTAAACTCTAACTATACAAAAGTACTCACCGTTCCGGATCCCTTGAATGCATCAGGGAATACAATATTTGTACAACGAGACAATGGACAATACTGAGGGGGCGAACATCCGCTGCTGCAGCTCCAGTCCTGCAGATTCTGGGAAATGTTAAGCCTGCCAGTTTGGAGTGGAATACCTTAAGGTAAGGAAAAGTACATCATCACGGTTTTCTTAAAAAATCTTGAAGTTAATTCAGTGCAGTTTTACTTTTGCGTGACAACTAATGTGTGCACTGCGATACGAATAATTTGTCCAACTGACACTAATGACCTTATCAGGTGAAGAAGGATAGATCGTGCGACAAGTTAGTGCTTGGGCGTTTGTTAACATGGCATATCTTTTATTTATAGAGAGTACATGAGAAGTTAATCTCGCCAGTTTAGCTGCGATACCTTTGGAACAAGGGATTCTTTTCTATCTTTATAGATATCCATCGATAGAAAGTTGATATCAAACGAGTCGTTAACGCATATGTTGACTTGATGACTTATGTGTTGGTAAAGGGTCAAAATTTTAATGAAAAAAACTTTCTTGGAACACTTAATTAATCCAATCCTCACTTGAGGGACAATTGTCAAGAGCAATCTAGAGTTGCATATGACAATCATCACTATTGGACATGTGATAGCGTATAAGAGTATCTCGCACGATTATCTTATACCAAGGAAATGGAGACTAAGAATCTTTTCCATGGGCCTTGGAACAATCTCCTAGCTGAAAACACAGATAATACAAACTCTGACCGGCCGCCCCAAGTCTCAAGGACTTCTTAACGTATGATGTTGCAGATAAACTGGCAGACTGAAAAAGAACTATGGCACTTCCTTCTTGATTTGTTTCGAAGCAGTTTAACGAATCATTCCGGAATTAGGTGTATTATCATAAGTAGAAAAATCGTCACTTAAGGTGACTTTCGAAAAAAGGCAACATTGAACTTGCATGAGACTTGAACGAGGTTAAAAGCTCAATAGTTGTCGTTAAATGAAGACAATTTCTTAAAAATACTCTTTTGGGATAAAAGGGGAGCTTTACACTGAAGTGTTTCCTGCCCTGGCTTTTTCTGGAGCAAAAAGTTTCACAACATTCAAAAAGGGATTGATAACCAAAGCTAAGTTGGAAACATAAACTCAGACAATCACTTTTAAACCGAAGCTTTTTTAGAAGTGACCGTGTAGATTAATCTGAATAATGCGTTCCAGCAAATGTTTTAAATGCATTTTAGCTTATCATGGGGTGCAGCAACAATGCAGTCTTACCTTTTACGGCCAAATAGATCTTTCCATGGAGGAACAAAACTATGGTCAGAAAAGTAAAGTGAGTCATTCTTCTAAGCTATGCTTCACAGAATGGCTTTGGCCAGTAAGATAAGGTTCTTATATCAGAACTAAGAACAGCGTTTTTATTGGTTTAAATTGCCCTCCAACTCAAGCAAAGTGTCAAGTTTTTCAGAAGACAAGAATGAACATACTTTGCGATGTGATATTTTAAGTGGTACAGGTGCAAACCTGTTATTGGCAAAAATTCAAACTGACACGTTTGCTATTTACCTGGTATACGTTTCAGTTCATCTATTTGTGTTTGATTTTGACCTGAAGGGCAGTGAACATCACGTAGCTGCATGATGCAAGCTAGTGCATAATTCATAGCATTAAATAAGTTTAGGAGTGCTTGGCTAATTTCTTTAATTTGGATGGGAAAATGCCTTTATCATCATATATTTGACATGTTAGTGTAATGAATCCCAAAGCTGGAAATGTGACAGTTTTTACCACACGTTTGCTGCATTAAACGGGAACTAATTTCTCCTTGTGAGAGAACAAACAGAAAAAAAAACCTACGGTCAGGATTTCTTTAATCTCTTCTAAGAAGAAAATTTCCCCCCTCTGTACGGTTTATCTATAGACCCACTCTGATAGAGTTCCGAAATTTAAAGGAGAAAGACATAAGCTACAAATTACGGATTTACCACGCGATCTTGGACGTAACGGGAATACTTCAGAATAAAAGGCTTCACTTAGATATTGCATCACGTTAAATTATCTTACATCATGCAAAGGATCTGTTTTCGCCTGTGGAGATATCTTCTAATTTATAAGATAATCATTTACTTTACGTCATCAGATAAAGCTGTAACTCTCGTTTAATGAATGTGATCCACAGTTTGAAGAATTAAGAAAGGGGGACGTGTCTTATTATTGACAAACGGACCTCCATCAATATGTTGAAACATACCCAACAGCTAATTAATTTTTCTGATTTCTTTCGATAAAACAATTTTTGGATTAAATTTGCCCCGACTCGCACAAAGGTATCAGGTTTTTTAGAAAATGATAAGATAGGGATAGAGGATTTGTTTCACCAAAAATAGCTTTAAAATAGATCTACTGATATTTTTAAGGGGTTCAGGTTCAAACTTGTCACTGGCGAAAAACCAAACTCGACTGAGTGAGAGGCTGTTAATGGATTAAAATCAGTAAATAGCTCTGCACCGCTTTTCAATGTTTATCACAAAATTATGGTTTTTCTTGAGAAGGTTACAAATGAAAGTCTTGTGCCTTGTTCAATATTTTCACATTTTCTGGGGTTCACCTTCGGCCTCTTACAACAAGCCATGCTAAACTTCCCAGTGTCTCAAAATTAATCTTATAGATTTGTAACGTAAAGGGAAAATATAATAACTTGAAAAGAGATTGGGGCTTATCACCAAGAACATACCGGCTAAGATGGTCGTATTAAAAAATTACAAGTGAAAGATTTGCTATCTTCATAACTCGCACTTTTGATCTCTTTGTTCGGTCTCTCCGCTCTTTGGGATAAGTTTTGAAATATTTCCAAAATAACAACAAACTCCCAGATCGGTTGATCAGCTAGCATCGCCTTGATAACCTCGACCCAGTTTCCTGAGTCAAGTCCTAAACATTCCGAACACGTGACACTGGTAAATCACATCTGGTGTCGATTCATAGCTAAGATGAATATGTACTTTTAAAAAGCCACTGGCTGTTCTTCGTAGTTTTTAGAAGAAACTTTGCAATTTGTTGTTGCTTCTTAGCGTATTGTTTCCACTTTTACGTTTGTTCTATCTTACTGAACCAATATTTGATTGTTTTGTTTAAGCCGGAGCTCAAAAGTTCATGACCGGAAATTCAACACTTTTGAATCAGTCAGCGTAAAGCAAGAATAATCAAACTGTCAATAATGATAAAAGATATGAAATGGACAGATGTCTTGTTTTGTTTTGATAAATTATTTCTTTATGGTGTGTCAGGTGTTTTTCTCGCGAGACCGAGGGAACAGCATTCTCGGGAATGAAATTTGAATTTTCAGCCTTGACCAATTCTCGTTACTGGAGCATAATTTATTTGAGTCTTTGAACTTTATGCGCTAATCAAATGATTATTTAAGAATTGCTGACATTAGAGTACAATTCTCAGAATTATAACTGTGTGTACCTCCAGTATATACTACAGTCTGCCCTCCTGTTTCATTCTGTTCATAAACCACACGGCAAACTAGATTTCTTTTAGGATCGTTTGTCTATATGTTATAATTATATATATAAATATTCATTTTCTATAGAATTCTCTTCTTTTTCGTTTTTTCCTCTTTTGTGCCCTCCTCGATTAGCCCTAGCTACTTGCGGGCCCAATTATTGTAATTTTCTTATTAAGCTTAAATGAAATTTGTTGTTGTTGTTGTTGCATTGTTGATTCAGCAGACGGTTGACCTTTGGAACGTTCGTGAAAATTTCAAATTCCAAATTCCAATCCCCGATGGATTTTGCAGATCTCGGTTGTGGAAATAATTTTCTCACTTCTATGATATGAAGCTTTACAAGCTTGGATTAGAGTTTGCGCACAGTTTTTATTGTTTCTTAAGGTTACTGAACAGCCGTAATATTTTGGCGTTTTCCAGGCGAACAGACGCTACCGCGGTTTGCGAAGCGCGAGTCATACACCAGTTTAAAAAATCTTGAATTAAAGTTAAACTATCTTTATCATACAATAACGGATTTTCAAATGATGGTGGATCAGCAGTGGAGAATTTTTGTCGTGATGTCGGCTTTCTTTTGTTTTTGGAATCACAGGATCGTTAACTTTTAGTAAAATCACTGTATATTCTTATGATATTCTGCCTAGTTTATCCACGTGTTTGCATTAATTTGACTTTAATCAATCTGCGCACTTTTTGTTGCCACTAAATATGATCATTTTCTTATTATTGGACAGTATAGTGCTCCTACATAACAATAAGTTCAAGGTTTATCTTTTTGGCCATAACCTGACAAAAACGTCTGTCGATTGTAATTTAATAGGAATTCTGAATACCATCGATACATCAGGACGAAAATTGCGACTTACTGCCGGGAGTGATTCGGTGAAGGAGCTGCCATAATTGTGGCCAGATGGTGGACTTTAGGTGTTTCCAGAGTTTGAGTCAGATTTTTGGTGGATGAGACGTAGTTGGCAACGTAAATATCTTGCCCCCCACCAAATACGGGTCCATACCTAGAACAACTGTACAGGGAACTGCGGTGAGCAATAAACTTTTCTGTTTCAGACAGTTTCACTGGTCTCCAGCCTGGCTTCTTAACCAATGAGGACAAAAAGGCGCTTCAAGTGAGCTGTGCTGCCATCCAAACTTAAAACTAACGAGAAAAATGGGAGAAAAGAGGCAAAAATTGTTACAGTAAACTTATGAAGGTGAATATCTGTCACACTTGGCCAGAGAAGCAACTAAAACGGACAAGAAATTAGTTAACATCCACAATAAACCGAAGAGTTACTAAGAATGCTACGACCCTTATGATATCTACCATTCCTACGATTGAAGGAATTATTGTATAAATACCGGTAACAGCTTTTCCGAATCCAGCACGATCTTGATTAAAAAATGCAATTCCAATAAGATAATCAAGCAACAGGAAACTCTGCACAAAATCTCTCTTCAGGTTCAATTTATTTCAGAGGGGAGACTTAAAGTCGCTTTCATGGGTGTCTTTAGAATCATTAAAATAATTTAATTTATGAGGAAAAAGGAAAATAAAAGCGATCAATCATTCACTCACCGTATGTACACAAACTCAATCCTCATAAACAACAGTGTCACAAGAGTCAAGGAAGTCACTGAAATTGCCACGATTAATTCTGCTGATCTTTTCCCCTGATTTCTTTAAATCCATTTCGGTAAGCAGGTATTATATAGTTCGTTCTCAGGGACTGATTTGGCTCAAAAACTTAAGCTACGATGGAAGTTCCTTCTCAGCAGCTGTTTCAGCTTTCCCCTTTAGCCAAGAACATCAACTACACAGTTATCAGACAAAACAGATTAAATTTCATAAGAAGAGTTTTTATTAATGAATTTTATGTGGAGAGGGTAAATGAATTATGAAATAGAGATATATTTAAAATATATAATCAGGTAGAGGAAGAAAAAGATTTGCACATTCACTGGCAATATTATCGTACTCTTATCGTACTACTAAGTTTCAAAGTCAATTTCAATAACCTTAAAATTTGGAAGTTTTCGTAGCTCGAATAACTGTACCTTTGAAAACAATACTTAAATTGTGAATTTTTTATTACTACCGTCTTGTATACTTTGCTGGTGTAGCAGCAACCGAAAAGTCCTATCACGGAATCTATGTTAAAACCGTCCTGAAAATGAATTGTAGAATAACTTAAAAATAAGGCAAAGACCGAGAATTAAATTCACATTATCACGTTCAATTTTGATGGGCTCCGCCGCAGCTGTTTTTTGGTCCCGTAATGTGACGCGTTCTCCCTTTCTCTTGCTAAAGGACGCATCATCTGCCTCGTGGATCCTTCTTCCTTCTTTGTTATTGCTATACTTATACTAAGGTATTTTAAAATGTTTTCGTCTTTGTTTTTTAATATTCAGACATTTTAAAGTTGTTCCATACCTAAGGTGAACAAGAAAATTATTACAAAAGTGAAAAAAAAAATTGGGTGCGAATTGACTCATCTTGACCACTACACCACCTTTAGAAACATAGAGTTTATTATTTATTATTTATTTATTATTGCATCATTACACTGTTGGCATCAAACATCTTACAAACGTATGTTATGCAAATCCAAGCAAATTTAAGCTTTGAAAATTAAAATCACAACCAAATTAAAAACTATTTTAAAATATTCAACCAAAGTAACAGATCTCTATCATTTATTCGACAAACTTAACCGCAATGCAGTTCGTGCTCCTTTTACGAAGAGCTGATTTCAGTTGTAACAGCTCTCTATTACAGTCAAACTAAGTGAAGCGTACCATCAAGATTACATTAATGAATTGATCATTTGGAT